GCCAGGGTAGCACATAACTTACCGGCTTGCCCTGGTTCCATCCAGTCCCACATCGGGACCCTGCCCTTGGGGTGCTAGGAAGTGAGGGCAACTGGGACTTAAGTTGAGAAGGCAGATGACCAGGAGTGAATAATATTCAAAGCCAATCAATTCCTAAGTTACAAAGCATATTAATTGTCTTCATGTATCTATACAAAAGGACGTTGCATTAAACTATTCAAAAGACATGAGGAGAGGAGAAAGGCAATATTAACTTACAGTACAAGTTTCAGTGTCTAAGAAGGATGAGACCTTACAAATTGGTTGGGCAAGAGAGCATAGAAGTGGTTACAGACAGACAAAGTAATGGGAGTGACTCAGGAGCACTGTGATAGGTGCAACCTGATAAACCTAAGCTCCTTGTACTCCAACAACTGGGAACATTGATGGTGTAGAATGGGCACTGGTGGAGGCATGAGTACTCGATCATTGTATGACCAAAACCCAAGTACAAAAACTTGTAAGGTCAACAACTGTACCGCATGGTGTTTCACTAATAAAAAATTTTTAAAAAAAATTCCTTTCAATCAAAGTGTAAGTGAATTCCTTTCAGTCAGAGGCCAACAGCAAAACGAGAATGTGGGGATCCAGGAACACACCTGTAGAGATGAGGAGAACAGGAATTTGTGTACTATAGTGAGAACAATTTAGTGCTCTCTAATAAACATTAACACTCATACTCTGCAACTTAGCGATTCTGATTCCAAGTGCTCCCTACAGGAAAACACCACCATTTGGGTCCAGTATAAACTTGGATGCAGTATAAATCCAGTTTAAGGCATTATAAATATGTCTATATTCCCAGCAACAATTTTCAATAGCAAAAACAAAAGTCCTAAATGTCCATCAACAGGAGACACATACAAATTGCACTTTATTACTGGGTGAATCAGAACCACACAAGAAAATATAATTAACCACATAAACAATATATGAGTGGGGAATAAGTTTCAATGACATGAACTATTGTAGCATTCACTTAAACTTTAAGGTAGACAAAGGGACAGCAAACATCATTAAGATTCTATTTATAATATGGGATAAATGTATGAAAAGAATGAGGGGAAATGCACAGCACTCAGTGCATATACTGGCCGCCTCTGTGAAGGACAGAGGAGAGAATTGAACAGAGGGAACAGGTTTCCAGTTGTATCAGTAATGTTTTATTGTAGCACTGTCCTCCCATTGTTTATCGATTTGCTCGAGTGGGCACCAGTAACATCTTCATTGTGAGACTTGTTGTTACTGTTTCTGGCATATCAAATACACCATGGGTAGCTTGCCAGACTTTGCCATGCAGGCGAGATACTCTTGGTAGCTTGCCGGGCTCTCCTAGAGGAGCGAAGGGAATCCAATCCCGGTCTACTGTGTGCAAGGCAAATGCCCTATCCGCTGTGCTATTGCTCAAGCCCAATGTTTTATTGTAATGTTTAAAAATAAGTTTGAGAACTAGAGAGATAGTACAACAGGTAGGATGTTTGCCTGACATGCAACTGACCTGGGTTCTATCCTCAATGCCCCATATAAAACCCCAGATCTGCCAGGAGTGATCCTTGACTGCAGAACCAGGAGAAAAGCATCCCTGCCACCGATGAGGACTGCCAGGCATGGCCAAAAGCAAAACAAAAAGTTCAGAACTATTTTGACAAAATGTTAAGATTTTACAAACCTAGGTGGTTGGTACAGAAGTGCCTTCTCTATCTGTAAACATTTTCCACCCTTAAAATATATTGTAATTCTTGGCGCCCTGGCCTCTCTGGAAAGAAAGATGGTGGCCGCACGGGAGCCTTGTGGACAGCAGGTTTGAGCCGGGGGTGGGGGCAGCAGGGACCTCATGGGAAGGGGGGCGTTCTGGGCCATCCTTCACGCCCGACCGAGGTCACCAGCTGCCCCCCACGAGCGGCTCTCCGGCACGGCCACGACTCCAGAGCACAGAAACCAATCTCTTAACTATCTAACTTTTAATAGAAATACTTCCAGGGTTAATAAGTAAAATAGCAGAAATCCAAAACTGCTATCGCGGCCGCGCGACATCATTTTATTCTTAAACCCAGCTGCAGAAAGCAAATCATTTCACAACGCTGTTTCAGCATGTCTGATTGTGGGGGGGGGTCATAAACTCTAAACAATAATGGTGCATCTTCTATCGAAACAATGTATCTAGTCAAAGTAGATAGAGTATTAACTAGAACTCATCTGCCTCACAGGAATTGGGAGGGGTGGGAGGTGGGGTTCTATTGGGGTTTGCGGTTAAAAATAAGTATTGGTAAAGGGAAATGTGTTTGATATTTACATGACTGAGACCTAAACCCGAAAGCTCTGTAACTTTTCCCACAGTGATTCAATAAAGAAATAAATTATAAAAAAAAAAAATATATATATATATTGTAATTCTTGGGGCTGGAGTGATAGCACAGCAGGTAGGTAGATTTGCCTTGCACATAGCTGACCTGGGTTCGATTCCCAGCATCCCATATGATCCCCTGGGCACCAACAGGAGTAATTCCTGAGTGCAGAGCCAGGAGTTACCCCTGTGCTTTGCCAGGTGTGACCCAAAAAGTAAAAGAGTAAATAAATAAAAAATTAAAAATTATATATATTGTAATTCTTGCTTTCTCTGCATCTACTGATATGATCATATGGTTTTTATCTTTACTTTTGTTGATATGATGGATTATGTTGATCGATTTCCAAATGTTAAACCATCCTTGCATCCCTGGGATGAATCCTACTTGGTCATGGTGTATAATCTTTTTGATGAGTCATTGGAATCTATTTACTAATAGTCTGTTGAGTATCTTTGTGTCTGTGTTCATCAGGGATATCGGCTTGTAATTCTCCTTCTTTGTGGTATCTCTGTCTGCTTTTGTTATCAGGGTGATATTTGCTTTATAGCACTCATTTGTGGAGTATAAAACAACAAAACATGAGGCTGACACCTAAGGATAGTAGATACACATGACAGGAAGATTGCTCCATAGCTGGAAGCCTGCCTCATGAGCAAAGGGGAGAAGGCAGCTGGAATAGAGAAGGGATCACTAAGAAATTGATGGCTTGAGAAACTGGTCGGGATGGGAGATGTGTGCTGAAAGTAGATACAGGACCAAATATGATAACCTCTCAGTGTCTGTATTGCAAACCAAAATGCCCAAAAGTAGAAAATATGGGGAATACTGTCTGCCTGGCTGTCCTCGCCAGGGCCCCTTGGAGGGGAGCGGGTTGAGTTTTCCTCCCTGCCCCGACCAGGGCTCCGGCAGCCAAAGACCTCCAGAACCAGCCACCACCATGCTGAGACCACTCTCCACACACATGAAGGTAACCGCAGAGGAACAAAGGCATGCAGGTCCCGGGGCTGAGATCTTCAAGCCTGCTCTATTCGGGGCTGAGCATCCTTCACCCAGATCCTCCATATTCCAGTAGGCAGGGGTCACACCCACCAACTGGCCCCTGGCCCCATGTAATTCCATCAACGGCCAAGACCCAGAGACTATAAAACCCAGCTCCTGGAAGAGAACAGTGCAGAGTCTCCTGCCCCTGTGCCTGGCTGTCCTCGCCGGGGCCCCTTGGAGGGGAGCAGGTTCAGTTTCCCTCCCCACCCCGACCAGGGCTCCCGCAGCCAAAGACCTCCAGAACCAGCCACCACCATGCTGAGACCACTCTCCACACGCGTGAAGGTACCGGCAGAGGAACAAAGGCATGCGGGTCCCAGGGCTGAGATCTCCAAGCCTGCTCGGTTCGGGGCTGAGCATCCTTCACCCAGATCCTCCATATCCCAGTAGGCAGGGGTCACACCCACCAACTGTCCCCCTAGCGCCGTATAATCCCATCAATGGCCAAGACCCAGAGACTATAAAACCCAGCTCCCAGAAGTGCGCGGCCGCATTTGCAGCTGCGTGACATCTTATTATCTCATTATTACTTTGGACAAACTGGCAGGCCACTGAATGTAACTTGCCCACATGGCAGAGTCTGGCAAACTCCCCATGGCGTACCCAATATGCCAAATACCAGTAACAATGATGGGTCTCATTCTCTTAACCCCGAAAGAGCCTTGAATATGGCACTTTTTAAAAATCTCAGGGCTAGGACAAAGGAGACGTTACTGGGGTCTGCTCGAGGCAATTGACGAACAACAGATGGTCGTGATCGTGATGGACGCAGGGGGAGGGTGAGAAAGGATTGGTATTCCGGGGATATTGATAGTGGGGAATGTGCACTGGTGGAGGGATGGGTGTTTGATCATTGTGTGATTGTAACCCAAACATGAAAGCTTGTAACTATCTCATGGTGATTCAATAAAATTAAATATATATATATATATATATATATATATATATATATTTAGTGGGCTGGAGCGATATCACAGCAGGTAGGGCTACCTGAGTTCGATTCCTCCACCCCTCTCGGAGAGCCCGGCAAGCTACCGAGAGTATCTCGCCTGCACAGCAAAACCTGGCAAGCTCCCCGTGACGTATTCGATATGCCAAACACAGTAACAATTGTCACTATGGAGACGTTACTGGGCCTGCTCGAGCAAATTGATGAACAACGGGAGGATAGTGACAGTGACAGTGATATAGATGGTAATTCTTTTTTAAAAATGGATGTTCTCCGATGGCCACTCAATACCTCTGTTGCAAACCACAACACTCAAAAGGAGAGAAAGAGCAAAAGGTAATGCACTGCCACAGAGGCAAGGTGGGGTGGGGGGAGGGGAGGAGGGATACTGGGATCATTGGTGGTGGAGAATGGGCACTGATGGAGGGATGGTGCTCGAGCATTGTATGACTGAAACATAAGCACGAAAGTTTGTAAGTCTGTAACTCTAACTCACGATGATTCTCTAATAAAAAATGTTTAAAGAATAAATAAATAAATAAATAATAAAAATGGATGTTCTCCTTCACCAAGTGTTCCCTGAAGAGGAACTACCACTGACTCACCTGCCCTCCTCTTCGCAGCTGATCACCCGCCTACAGAGGGAAGTACAAGAGCTGAAGGATGAACTGGCCATAGTCACCGGTGAGCTGAGGACAGAGCCGCTCACAGAGGGAGAACTCCTTCAGTAAGACCGCAGTTTTGCCTTGTTTTTCTTTTTCTTTCCCAGTAAAAGTTTGTGTTAACTTCTTTGTTGGCCCTCATGTTATGAATTCACCTCAAAGCACAAAGGTCTCCCGGGACAGTGTGTAGGCGCCAGCTAAAAGTGGCAACTTTCCATGAAAAGCTGGATAAGACCGGCAGTGTTTCTGCCGCCTCAGCTTTGAGCAAGTCAAGAACAGAGCATAGAGAGGACGGGAATAGCCGCCTCGTGCCAGCGGAAGAAGGGGCTTGTGTAATAGTCATGCCATTTAAATATATCTACGCCCCTATGCCGTGGGCCTCGGAGTGAAAGGAATTCAAGAAACGTTCTTTGTGTTAAACAGCATCTTGCTGCAAGCACCAATGTATGCCATGCCAAAGTAAGCTCTCTCCTTTAATAAATAGATGGCCCATATATTATAGTTCAAACACTCAAAATGAAAATTAAAGCAGGTATTCATGGCTTTAGACAGTGCCCGTCTCTGAGAGCCTTTAGATTTGCAGCTATACGGCATATCGGTGGCACCATGTGGCTCTCATTCTCTCTGACCGTAAACCTGGGAGGGGGCTTTTTTGTTTCTTTGCAGCTTAGTAAACCGATGAAGAGTGACAATTGTGGGCTACACTTAGGGGTCAGTGATATTCTCAATTTCCAAATGAGAAATGGAACACAAGATTTTTTCTCAAAGTCGGTTGCCACATCCCCTAACCCGCCACATCCCCTAACCCTCTCTTAACAACAACAACAACAACAACAAAAACTGCACAAAAACCACCATCACTGGGGCTAGAGCAATAGTACAGCTGGTAGGGCGTTTGCCTTCCACGCGGCCGACCTGGGTTCGAATCCCAGCATCCCATATTGTCCTCTGAGCACCACCGGGAGTAATTCCTGAGCGCATGAGCCAGGAGTGACTCCTGTGCATTGTGGGGTGTGACCCAAAAACAAACAAACCAAAAAAACCATCAGAGATGGTAAAAGTGTTTGAAGAACAGCAAGATGCCCCAGAGGTAGGTCGTAAGCTTAGTTAGCCTCAAGCTATTGTTCTCAAAGGATTTTCTTCCTCTGTACTAGTGTGTCTGAGTCCAGAATGTGTGTGAAGTGTGTGAAGTGATATGACAGCCCGTAATTCTTTCCTTACAAAACTTCTCTGTGGCATATATGCAGTTAAGGCCAAATGTACTGCCACATTCACATTGTCAATAAACTCCTGTCATCCTTGGACACATTTGGATTATTTTAGATTTTGAGAAACCCAAATTGAGAGTGTCTTCATTGTAGTATTCCCTCTCTCCACCCACCCACCACAAAAGGAATTATGAGTTACTAACTTTTAAACTGTCTCTTCAGAATCTTCAAGTCAGGAACCAGTCAGAAAAAAAAAATTCCTCTAGGCTTCTCAACAAAGTAATTGAAGGCAGTGATTTTTTAGTACAAAAGATGTTGCCATGAGAATGAAGCATCTCAGAATCAAGAATAGCAGGAACTCTTCTACCTAAGCAGTATAATGTTGTAGAAAAAGTTTAGAACTTCAAAATACAGAAAAGAATCCCTACCATTGACAAAAAATATTTACAGTCAAGGATCTCACTGAAACAGTCTTCTCATCAGCAGCTTTGGAAACAAGAAAGTTTAGTACTGGAAAACAAAGTAAAACAAGACTTCACTTTGGATGGATATTTCTGTACTGAGCCAAAACAGTACTCAAGTGTGAGTGTAAAATAAGGACATTTTTAAATTATAAAAACTTTGGATAAAAAATATCAGCCTAGAGTTTCTCTTCAAGAGATGACCACACTACACTTTTACATAAAAAAGTTATGAAATATAAGAAACAATAAGAAAAATGTTGTTATATAATTTGTAATATTTTATATTACATTTATGGTCACGGTCCTCCCCTTGTTCATCGATTTGCTCGAGCCGGTCCAATAATGTCTCCATCATGAGACTTGTTGGCATATCGAATACGTCACGGGTAGCTTGCCAGGCTCTGCCGTGCAGGTGAGATACTCTCGGTAGCTTGCTGGGCTCTCCGAGAGGGGCGAAGGAATCGAACTCGGGTCGGCCATGTTGGCTGCTTGTGAGGCAAATGCCCTACCGCTGTGCTATCGCTCCAGCCCATTACATTTATGATTTACTATTAATTACATAGAGTGTTTCTATTTAAAATTATTGGTAATTGTAAAATTTTCTGTTTGCATAAACTTAGGGATAGAATGGAGAAATTAAATTGTGACAATAGATTTAAAATTTTAAAGGACTCAGAGATGATATTGTATTGGTTTATTTTGATCTATAGACAACAAATATGCCAATATTATTCGGAGCAGATTTTACATAGGTAGTATGCTGTATTGCCATTAGTTTATCTATGGTATTGGGTTATTCATTTGTTCAACCTCTATTATTCATGTAGAATTCTCTATTCTAGATGCTAGACTCTACATGCAACTTTGCCCAGACCTGGCTCTGATTGGTTCACAGTGTGATGGCATTAACAGCCACAGCCCATGATGCAATATATTAGTTTATGAGAAGATACAAATAAGGCACAATGATGAGTTTGCAAAGATAGTGTTAGTTTTGAGCTCTCTCTCTCTATATATATGTATATATATGTATGTCTGTATATATGTGTGTGTGTGTGTGTGTGTAATTGTTTTTGTTGTTGTTTGTTTTTTTTGACCCACACCTGGTGGTACTCAGAGGTTATCCCCACCTCTTCACTCAGGAATTACTCCTGGTAGTGTTCTGGGAACCATACAGAATATCAGAAGTCAAACCCAGGACCACTACATGGAAGGCAGGCACTTTACCCACTGTAGTATTGCTCCAGCCACCAGGGTTTTTTGTTTGTTTTGGGTAGTTTTTTTGTTTGAGGTTTTTATTGGTTGATTTAGGGGCACACTCTAGGATAAACAGAAGTTACTGCTGGCTCTGCACTCAGGAATTATTCCTGGCATAAAATAACTTTTTAAGTCAAGATAAAAATTCAATTATATCTTGTTGGTAATTTCTTTATTAAGGTATTGTGATTTCTAATAATATTAATGGTAGCTTCATGCATACATCTTTTCAAAACCAAACCCACCTTCAGACCACCCACTTTCTTTCACCAAAGTCCTAAATGCTCTTCCCCTTCCACTCCCGTCTCCCAGCCTGTAAGCTGAGTCCTGTATGCCATGTGTCCAGTTCTATTGCATTCAGCTGTTTGTTTCTCCTGTACTATGTGTCGTTAGGGCCCACATATGGTAGAAATACTTTGTGTCTATCCCTTACTAACATCACTCAGAGTGATCTCTTCTAGTTCTACCCATGTTATAGAAAATTGTATGATTTTGTTCTTTCTTACAGATGCATAGCATTCTATTGTCTACATAAACCACAATTTCTTTTTTTTTTAAATGAGTCACTCTGAGATACAGTTACAAAGATTTCATGATTCAGTTTCAGTTATAATATGACCGAAAACCCATCCCTCCATGAGTGTACATTTTCCACCACCAATGTCCCCAGTATCCATCCCATGCTCACCCACCCCACCCCTTCCCCTGCCTCTATAGCTTACAACTTCCTTATTTCTCTCTCTACTTTTGGGCATTATGGTTTGAGTACAGATACTGAAAGGCAATTATGTTTGTCTTTTATCTTTATCTACTTTCAGCACATATCTCCCAACCTGAGAGATCCCTCCAACCATCACTTAATGATCCCTTCTCTATCCCAGCTACCTTCTCCCCCAGATCATGAGGCAGGCTTCCAACTGTAGAGCAATCTTCCTGGCCCTTGTCTCTACTGTCCTTGGGTGTTAGTCTCATATTATGTTATTTTATATTCCACAAATGAGTGCAGTATGATACTCTCCATGTCCCTCCAGTTATAAGCAAATTTTATAACTTCATTTTTTTCTTACAGCTGCATAGTCTTCCATTGTGTAGATGTCCCATAGTTTCTTTAACCAGTTGTCTGTTCTCAGGCACTTGGATTGTTTCCAGATTCTGGCTATTGTGAACAGTGCTGCAATGAACATACAGGTCATTTACACTGTACTTTTTTGCACCCCTGGGATGTATTCCCAAAAGAAACCACAGTTTTTTGATTCATTCATTCATAGTTGTGTATTTGGTTGTTTCCATATCTTGCCTATTGTGCTAAGCACTGCATTAGTACTGTAACACTGTCCTTCTGTTGTTCATCGATTTGCTCAAGTGGACGTTAATGAACATCTCCATTGTGAGACTTGTTGTTACTGTTTTTGGCATGTTGAATACATCATAAGGAGCTTGCCACGCTTTGCCGTGCAGGCAGGATACTCTCAGTAGCTCTCCTGGGCCTCACTGAGAGGGACAGAGATATCAAACCGAAGTCAACCACATGCAAGGCATGTGCTATTGCTCCAGCCACCAGGTAAAGGATTCTTGATTGAGGTTCTTTTCATTCAATATTCTGTATATGTTATTCCACTCTTTTCTTGCTTGTAGAGTTTTGCTAGAGAATCTGTGAATGTGATTCTTTATCTCTTGTATGGAGGTTTTGCTTCTTTTCTGTTTTGTGGCTATAAGGAGTCTGTTTCTGCCTTGATTCTTGCCATTTTTGATTACAAGATGTCAGTGTTGTTTTGTCTTTGGGTTTTTTGGATAATTGCTCCCATCTTGCCTTTCAAGTTGGAGAAGTTCTCACCAATTATTACTTCAATTAATATTTCTTCTCCTCTCCTACTTTCTTCTTCTTCTAGAATTCCTATGGTTCTGAAGTTGTTCCTTTTGATTTTGTCGATAATTTCCTTTATATTATCTTCATCCTTTCTCAAATTTTTTCTGTATCCTATTCTATCTGAGTAGTTTACTGTATCTTTGAGTGTACTGATTTGATTTTCAACTTCCACCGTACTGCTTCAAAGGCTAATTCCTGATTTCTGAAGTTCCTTTAATTCCTTTTGAGTGACTTTTTTCTTTTCATTTCTTCCCCATCAGACTTTCTTC